ACGATGCCAAGGTTACGGATGAGTAGGGACAGAGTGAAGTGTTGTCAAAATTGAAGCAGAATGTTGAGGTAAAGACAGAAAGGTAATGAAAGTAATATGCCATATTTATCAGGTTTGTTTTAACTACTGCCATTTTACATTTTATCTATGTAATTACTGTATTCTAACATACTAAATAAATAATGATTGTATAACCTTAATTTATTCAATCAAAAACACCATATAACACAAATCCTCCTTATGTAATATGCAATAATAATATGTACAATAAGATATCAGCCTCTGCATAAATGCACATCTCTCAAGCAATAAGCAAAATTGCCTTTTTCCTTGGTACCTGTCCCTCACATTGTCTGTAACTATCACAAGTAAAGGACTATTCAAATAACTGTTTTGCCTTTTGCTAGTATTTCAAATTTCTTATTCTTTTAATGATCGGCTACATTTGAAACATTTTACTGGCACTATTAATTTAATTTCCGCTCCTTTTACTGTTATATATCATTTTGATGTATTCTGATATTGATGTATTCACTCACTCATTGAACTTTTTTCAGTTAATGTTTCTAGATATGGTTGAGTTGGTTGTCTTGGTCTAAACATCCCAATAGATCAACAATTAATATGGAAAAATGATCTAGTCTTTCCCTCTCAATGCATGCTTTTTAAAGCGGAAAGAACAACAATCACAATTAAATTCACTGCAATTTGGAACCACCATTCTGTCCTTTTCTGTAAAGTCCTCTAAGACAGACCTGGGCATTCTACACCTCCCAGGCCCTTTGGTTGACTCTGACCGGCCTGTTTAAATTAATTTGGAATTACAAAATAAACATATTTTATAGTTTTACCTCATGCATTGGGCATGAGGTTTGACAAAGGATTATGGATGTTTTGCCTCATAAAATTTTTTTAACAAAGGATAATAAGGAGTAAGATCTTGCACTGATACTTTAATTCCTCAAACATGACTCTGGTGCAAGTTTCATAAACAGGACAGAATCAGGTTTAGGCCAAGGATCCTTATCAGCATTAACTAATATTCTCTTGTGTTATGGTTTGAAAAATCTGTTTACTGCTGTACAACACTATTGAAGACCATCCCAACAGGGGGTGTCAATGGTTTTTTTTTGTGCAGCATTGTCTTCTGCTTTTTCTCAGCAGGTCATTTCCAATGCATAGAATGATATACTGTACAAAAAGGTCACTAACAAAACATGTATTAAAACTCATCAGAGATGACAAGGATTTCTCCATTTTGACAAAAAAAAAATAGGAAACCATCTCTTTCTTCATCCAATAATGTCACTGATGAGAGAAACTACCAATGGATCCACAGAATCAGAAGGGTTTCAGCTGAGAGACTCAGAGTCTAGATCTCACTGCTGAACTGTTGCAAGCCATGGTGCGGCTGACCACAAGACAGTTAAAATACTTTAATAGTGATTATTTTGTGTTGTCATCATTTGGTGTTAATTTGCTAATAAATGTGCCCTTTGAGTGATCATTAATGATCAAAGGGGTGGAATTGTAGTAGCTAAATACATTTTAACATGTCCTTAAACATGCTTACTGGCCCCAGTATCAGTCAGTACTTTTCCATTGAAACTGGCATTCCTCTCTGAGGTGCATCCCATCACTGTCCAGACCTCCCCTCATTATTTATGTCATGATAACCTATGTACATACCAATGTACTGCTTCTATAAAACCCAATGTCGGACTCTCTTTTTCCTTCTCTCTCTCTTCTACCTGCTCTATTCTCTTCTCTACTTTCTCTTGCAAAAAAATAAACCACACAAAGACAGTCATTTTATTCTCACTCAAATATTTCCACAACAGCTCCCATTTGTGCAGATGAGCTCTGATTTCAGTGAAAATTTGTGTTAAGGTGGCTTGGCATTTGCAGGGCGTGGCGTTGGCACACACGAGAGCCGATCTATGCCACTTGTGGCTATATTTATTATTGTCAAGTATTTTGGGATATTCTTTATGTCTGGACCTTACAAATTAGTTGAACATAATTATTTCACGTTGCAGTTCACAATTTAAACCACTGGGAGGCGCCTCGTGAGACACAACCGACAGATTTTTTTCATGTAATACTCACTGAGTATGCTAAAGGGCTCTCTAGGACAAAGAAAACACTGGCTTGCGAGGAACTGCATAACTATATGTCTAAGGGGACCTGTATTTCTGAAGGGTAGCTGAATGTTGCCAGTATTGATCCACATATAATGACATCTGTATTACAGTAAACAAGATTGTAAGTTAACATTGGCCATGTAATATTTTTGGTCAATCCCTTTACATTGTTTTGCTTTTTGTTTTATTGTCTACTGAGGTAAATAATTTACTTTGAACTGACATTCATCATTGTTTAAAACCATCTGAAGAAAGTCATGTGATGCTTCACGATGACTTTATGGTACCATATTGGTAAATTGAAATAGTACAACAACGCAGCTAGAGACTGTTAGTAGCAGTAATACTTATATTATTATATCTTATCTCATAATTATTGCAAAGCTTTAAAGACTTTCCCTTTATTTTCATTGAGTATTTTCATTCTTACCTATTCTTACAGTTAATTACAAATGATTGTATTCATTTCAAATATTGTCATTATTCTATTAATTAGTCATAGAAATTGTGCCTCATGTCTTTGTTTAAAACTTCCACAACTTCTAGTATTTCTTTTTATTTATAATATTTCATGGGTTTCAGTTTCCAATTTCAAAGAGACATTTTGACCACTTTTCACTACTCATATTTTATTTTTCACTCTGAAACTCATGGAGGAGCACAAGAAGAGAAGCTGTTAATTTGATAACAGCTAATGGGGATTAAAAAAAAAGAAGTGTATGTTATGTAAGTGTTAACACATATTGTCAAGTGTCATAAAGTGGTTTTATGGATTTTCACTCCACTTTAAATTCTTATTATGATAGCTAATGAAGCTTTAAGAATGATTATTTGAATACAGATAGCAAAGGTGTTATTGCACATTGTGATCTTTTGCAGTATTGGTCTTTTTTCAAAAAAAAAAAAAAAAAAAAAAAAAAATGGAACTCCAATACAGAAGTGCTTAATAAAATGGGTCCATAGGTCCAAAAACCAAATAGTAGCCTATGTATTTCCTTGGATGTCATTGCATCTTTTCAAAAGCATCAGCTGCAGCAAAAATCCAGACAGACAGCAAAAAAATACTCAAATTTCAAATCACCACCAACTGATAAGTAATCCCAGTCAGGCATTATGTGCAAGCATAGACTGCCTGTGTATGGAAAGCATTTGGTCGTTTTATTGTCCTCAAGGATCTGCGGCGCACCTCGTGTTGCCATTGGTGTAAAAAGACTGTGATAGTTGTAGTCTTCCTTTTTTATATACCTTCTGCTGTCAAGATTAGATAAGAGGATTATGAGGTGCTGCACAGGAGGTTAGTAATTAACCCTTAATCTAGATCAGTGAAGGCCGGAGAAGACCTGCTTATCCCAATCAACGGATTTCACTTCCGAACCTATAAGTACATTATTTAAATGTAGTGAAGGAAGCAAATCAAATCTGTAATCTCAAAGCGAATTAAGAAGGTGTTAATGACATGGAATAGACTTAAAAAGCAATGCAAGTTTTTTAGATGACAAAACGCATGAATTTACTTGTCCATCATAGCCTGCTCCCACAGCTCACATAGGCTGCTGATTATCTAATTACTATCTAGTTGAGACGGTGTACAGAAAGTTTGTACGTCATAGGCAGCTCATAGAATAGCTCACCTGCAGGTGTGATTTGGGTCTTGTTTGGATTACTTTTACGTGGCCTGACTGTGAGAAGGCAAAGCTTACTCTCACCATAGGAACAGATGCCATGATCCTCCTTAAGATTTACAAACCTTGCACCCTATCCAAATCGAAAACGATCTCTACTGTCTGACTGTTAACTATAGTAGTATAATAGTGGTAAACTGTCAATACAATGCTATGTCAGTGAAATGTCTTACAGAAATGAAAAGGCATTAAATATAACAGGACATTGCCTATTTGCACTATTTGATTCTCTCAAGGGTTTCAGGCAAATGATTCCTTCCTGATTATAAGGATTTTGTGAGAAAATATAGAGGATCTCTAATATTTATGCAGAAGCTATACATGCTGAAGATAATATAATGTAATGTATTTAAAAAAAACTGCACACATTATGGACAATATATTGTTGCAATTGCTTAAATGCAGGCATAGCAAGTTTACTGCACACAAAAAAGTATAAGTAACACATATATATTTATATGTGTTACACATATATTTATAAAAGCCTGTTAAGATAAATAAGTCTATTTTAAAAAACAAAGAGTGGGATTATCAAATTAATGTGACTCTTGAAGAATAAACTGGGGGAAAGGGCAGGGAAAATAACTGTTAAAGTTGGGACTTGAACTCACAATGCTGAGGCAGCAGGTTGTCCTACATAGTATTTTATTGGTTCATTTAAAGGCAAGAGCATTTCCTAATGTTGATTACTGACTACGCATCACACAATTTAGATTATCAAAAACTAAAATTTGCAGCACTTTTAATAAAATGAAATAAACTTTACATTATAAAGTATGTATAATAAAATAAAATAAATAAAATCAAATATTGATTTTTATATACTTTTTATAGAAGCAAAAAACTCCCAGTTTCATATAATGCAAGTTGTGTAATGTAAGTGACCATTAATTTTATTGACAGGAATTTTACAGTTCCTGTCTGAAAACAATGAATATTTGATGTTAGCCTAGAATTAACAAAGACATGCTCCATGTGACCCTAGACTTAGTGACCTGCCTCTTTCTAAAGTAAATAATTAGTCTTACGTGAGCGGCCCGTTTCCTCTTAACCAATTCACTAATCTCATAGTGCGGATAAAACTGAGAGTATATAACTACAGACACCTCAGGCAGAGCTTAGACACCTCCAGGATCATACAACAGCTGACTACAGCCAACTTAGACAACCAAAGATGGGCTGGGAAGGAGGCTACGAGCCAAATGGCACAGAAGGAAAAAACTTCTACATCCCCTTTTCAAACAGGACAGGGATTGTCAGGAGTCCTTTTGAAGCTCCTCAGTATTATATGGTCTCTCCCATGATCTACAAGTTGCTGGCATGCTACATGTTCTTCCTCATCTGCACTGGCACCCCCATCAACGGCCTGACTCTGCTGGTCACCTTCCAGAACAAGAAACTGCGACAGCCCCTGAACTACATCCTGGTCAACCTGGCTGTTGCCGGTCTCATCATGTGTGCGTTTGGATTCACCATCACTATCACCTCTGCCATCAACGGCTACTTCATCCTGGGACCCACTGCCTGTGCTGTGGAGGGCTTCATGGCCACACTAGGAGGTAAAAAAAAAAGAACACAGATGCAGTAGAGATTGTAATGACTTCAGAGTTAAGTGGATAGGTTCCATAGATGAACTCTACTTCTCTTTTCTCCACTTAGGTGAAGTTGCTCTCTGGTCTCTGGTCGTGCTTGCTGTGGAGAGGTACATTGTCGTGTGTAAACCCATGGGAAGCTTTAAGTTCAGTGGAACTCATGCTGCTGCTGGAGTCATCTTCACCTGGATCATGGCTATGGCTTGTGCTGCTCCTCCTCTCTTTGGATGGTCCAGGTAACTGTCAAACTTGATCAAGCCTCAAGAAAATGGAAAAATAAAAAAAAACTCAAAGTAAAATTTTGCCTCTACAGATACCTCCCCGAGGGCATGCAGTGCTCATGCGGACCTGACTACTACACTCTGGCCCCAGGCTTCAACAATGAATCCTACGTTATCTACATGTTTGTGGTGCACTTCTTCATCCCTGTCTTCCTCATCTTCTTCACTTATGGCAGCCTCGTGCTCACTGTGAAAGCTGTAAGTAGTAGATTTTATACTATGAATGATATTGTAGTTTTTTAATCACTCAGTAGTAATAAAGTTCTTAATGTTTGTGAACTGCAGGCTGCAGCCCAGCAGCAGGACTCAGCCTCCACTCAGAAAGCTGAGAAAGAGGTGACCCGCATGTGCTTCCTCATGGTCCTGGGCTTCCTGGTAGCCTGGACTCCTTATGCCACCTTTGCTGGATGGATCTTCATGAACAAGGGAGCTGCTTTTACTGCTATGACTGCTGCTCTCCCCGCCTTCTTTGCCAAGAGCTCAGCCCTGTACAACCCCGTTATCTATGTGCTCATGAACAAACAGGTATGTGCCTATTACAATGGCTCTCCCTGTCTTTTGTTGAAATCATTCATGATTTGAAATATGTTTCTGTTTTGCACTTTTCAGTTCCGTAACTGCATGCTCAGTGCTGTTGGTATGGGAGGCATGGTTGATGATGAGACCTCAGTGTCTGCAAGCAAGACAGAAGTGTCCTCTGTCTCTTAAATATCTTTGTAATATCAAACCTCTGGACATTTTTAACAATGGCTTCCAGACTGTCAAAGATCCCAGAAGAAAGTCTGTTGCCAAATGGAAACGGGGATTGGAGAGGGAACGACACAGGGAACTCTTCATCTGTTATCTGTGTAAATGTAAATATTGGCCTGTGTACATGTGCAGTGTAAATGAGACAAAGTATGTGTGAATGAGCCACGACTCAAGTGCAGCTTTGGTGACGACACACACACACACTCCACAGTGACACTGTGGATGTGTCATCACCAGAGCTGTGTGCATGTACTTGTGTGGAGCGCATGTGTCCTGCTGGGCTTCCAGTGTAATTTTTATGTACATTCAATGGAAAAAAACTGAAAAAATATTAGGGTCAATAGATAAATCCTGCATGCATTGAAAAGAAACACTGTTGTTTGTCTTCATTTTCCTGCTTTATTGTTTCAAACGGTTTGCACTCACTTGATAAAGACAGATAATACATTACATAAGATCTATAACCTAAATGTATTTTTATTATATGTATTTGATTTGCATCTTTATAAGATGCCTAAGTAAAGTAGGTATAAGACTTATACCTACTTTCTATATGCGTGCCTTGTACCACAAGGTATATAAGTGACACTGAGGAGCATAATCCCCCAATTGTCCAGTTAAAGCTATAGAGTCTAAAGCAATTATAATGAGATGTTGTGAATTATTATAGCTAAATATGATCCATGATTGATAACTTGCTGCATTTGAGACCTAGAGGACACTATGTGATCCTGTTATAGTCAAGAAATCCTATCTATAAATTAATTTACAAAATAAGTAAACTAAAGATCTACTGAGAGGCCGGCCCACTCACAGTAATGTGGAGAATGGGAGCGTGCTGAAGTAGCTCAACTTAAACACACAGGCGAACCCACCACCAGAAATGTTACATAGTGCATCTTTAAACAACAACGTATCTGGACACTGATGATGACTTCGAGGCATTCTCGGGGCAGGGGTGACAGTCGGAACGTACGGTCCCGTACTGCGTACCCCTAAAAGAATTGGTGGCGCTACGCCGTACCATGACGCAGGGTGGCCGAACCTTACGCACAGAAAAGTAGTCCCACTGAAATAACTGAGTCTCTGCGCGTCTTTACGCGATAGCAGCACACACACAGCCTTTCTTCAGACTCTTGTGTCTTCTGCACAAATGTGACTGAAGAAGGAAACTAAGTTAGTAAAATGACTCAGTATGAAAATATTAAATAGGTGGATCAAAACATGACCTAAACATATGGCAAGCCAAGGCAACTGTACCCTTTGTCCATTGGACTTCCATGGATAAAGTGAGCAGGTTACAGAATGAAGTTTATTGCACACAGAAGGATATATATGACAGATGATTTTGCTCACACCAGAGTCAGCCTTAAATGATAAAATGCATCAGAAAATGCGTGACCCTGATTTGAACTTACTTATAATAATGTGCCTGATGTAGGCTACATGTTAAAATGGTTATAGTATTAATTTTACCAAATCATACTCTAACCGATTGGATGTATATGTCTGAAAGCTGAGACGGACGGAATTAAAAATGAAGGCCTAATAATAAAAAATTTAACTACTTTCAGTCTTGGGCGTACTTTGAAAACCCCTAGAGTCCAAGGAGATGTAAAATCCTCAGAACCACAGAGTTGGCAGCATGGGCTAGTTTTTAGTGATGCAGGATATAGACTTTGTAAGAAGCTTACCTTTTGCTCTGTCGGCCCATCCCGTTCATAGATTTACTAGAACTTCATCCACATTTCAGGGGCAGGGAGGTGGCAGGTGGCTGTTGCCCCCTAGTGGATTCTACACAGAAGTGCACAGTGTCTTGGTCCCATTTTGGCGAACATAATGTTACAACACGTGTCCGGGTAACACCACAGCTCACAGCTCAGTTTTACACATAAATATACGTTAAAGCCTTAAGTAATAATTATATGTAAATGCAGTCCTCTTGAGCTGATAGGCCACCCATGCAATGACGTAACCCTTTATTTCCCGCTGACAACCTGACCTAATTGTCATGCTGTTGGCCCGTCCTCTGTAATTTTCTTCAAAGCGTTTGGCATGGACACCTGCATGTGCTTAGACTCACACATAGAAACCAGCATAGCCTCTTTTTGTTCTTGTTACCCTTCACATTACAGAAGCTGAATGTGGAGAAAGCTTAGCAGCAAACTTACATCTACTGTGAGCAAAAATCTGAAACATTTGAGATTATCTGAAGATTGATATAATTAAAAAATAACTTTGCAAAATCAGTGCATATCATAATAATCGTATCATACTTTTCAGTTTAAAAGCAATTTTTCAGTGATAGTAAAATAATATACATAGATTTATTTTTTTAATAACTAAATTAATCAGTAAATAAATCAATAAAATGAATAGCGTAGGTAATCTAAAAGTTGGCTGACGTAATTCATTGCTATTATAGGACATTCAAGTCATACTCATTATAGAATTTAATTTTTAAAAATGATATTAAATTTACTTCGATAAAACAAAAGCCGTTTATTTAAAACACAAAAACAACAATAAGCATTAAGCATGTGTGTGTCTGTTTTGTTTTGTTTTTTTCTCAATTTATTTTATTTTATTTTAGAATAATACATTTTGAAACATGACCAGCACCTGCACAAAAACAACACCCTGTAATGTGGCTGGGACGGAGTAGGAATATCAAAGAACCAAGGATAAACCACTAGCATGACACAAGTGATTAGAATGTGAGCTGGTGTTGTGTTAACGGGCTTAGACAGGATCAAGGATTATCTAGTTGGCCTCTCACACCGTTCTTGTAAACACTAAGAAACCTCTAAATATCAGACATGTATTCACTCAGTATGTGGTTTTTAACAGGCACAAGTACCGCTTATATTTGCAATTACTTGATTATGATTAATACATGATGATTCCTTTTCATTCCTCCTTATTTTCTTTCTCTTCACCTTCAAATGTTCATGATACATGTATTTGAATCTTTCTATCATATATTACCAGTTTCACAATAGCAAACTAAATCAATTCATTTTTTACTCATGTATGGTATGATAATACTCAAAACAATTATTATTAGGTCAGCTGGATGTCATCAGTATACCATGTGCTTTGTCAACATCATTAGGACACATAAAATGAAAAAAACAAAATACAGCATTCTTACCAAAAACATTACTTCCTTTAAATTGTATGGACCCCTACAATAAATAATGGGGACACATTTCATATATTGTACTGATACTTTGTCCTAATACCATTACAAGAAACTAAATTGTTGAAAATACTATAGCTCCACACTGCGAATAACCATATGTTATCTAAATCACATCTCATTGACAAAAATGACGGGCCCCTTTGTCCTGACCTTACTGTCTCTCTCTTGGACAGCTGGCTTCCCCACGTGCGTTTGCGGTATACTGAAGGAGCTCTGGTGTACACTGGACTGCCTCTGCAGCTCTCGGGCCTGAGTGTAGGTCTCCAGTCGGGCCTGGTTGAAACTGTCTTGTCTAAAAGGTTGTGGTGCGAAGTCGTCCGGCTGCTCAAAGCTGCTCTCGCTGTACAGCCTCTGTCTCATCTCACTGGCACGTTTCCCAGAGGCGCTCCTGGTCGGGTATCTCTGGCCACTCTTGTACCAGCCTGTCTCTTTGAACACAAACCAAATGTTTCCAGCCCACAGAATGAGATTCACAAAGCCAAAGACCTGCACACACAAAGGGGTATGGAGGTGATGGAGCAATTATATATTTAAACGTAACTTTTGAGATGACAATTCAAAACAAAATAGTATAGCTTTTTAATGGTGAAATGTCCTCAACATGTTCTAAATTGAACTGAAACTGAAAACTGAAACCCATGACTAAGAATTGAGTCTAAGAATGTTATTCAATGATTATTCATTTTAATACTCTTCATTATTCTGGTCTAAATGGTACTTTCAATTAAACCTGTATGTAAAGCTTCTGTTTATGTCACTTTTTTTTTTTTTGCCCCAAACTGTATATATTGGACAATGCTAATTAAATAAAACAAAGGTGTCTACTGTTTGTACTGACTGGTTTCTTTATAGTTTCTATGGTGCCTCATTCTTGAATTGTATATGGGCTAACAAAAGCTTTGCTCCATTTAATATCCAAATCTTAATTAGATTACAACTTTATTCCTATTATTTTTTTCATCCACTCAGTCTCAGAAGCTCAAATGTGTCTCCATTATTCACCTAAGGTCACAAAACTAATTTAATGTACTAGTGGTGATTTGCACATTCATTTCCCTGTGCAATATGGGGAATATTCATATATATACATTTTCCAAAGGAGCCTTGCTCTCACATCTCACCCATTTCCACTGTTCCAGAAGCCTGTTTTTTTCATCAAGGTGCTCTTGTTCCACAGCACCTGACACAGACCCGTTTGGCCAGGCAACATCTAAGTCAGTATCTCGTAAGTTTCACTGTCCCTTACCATTGTATGAGGTGCAAAGGCTCTTGATCAAGGACTTGCTCATGGCAGTCCCAGGGGATTCATACCCGGGTGCTCCATGTGAAAGCCAAGTGACTTACCACTTGAGCTAACCAGCTGCTTACATGGCATAACTTCCACACCTGGGAAGTGAGAAGGCCTGGAAGGTGAATGCATCAGTGGTGATGGGGCACTCGGGGCTGTAACACCCAAACTAGAGGAGTGGCTACAGCAGTTACCAGGAATTAATCATGGTTTTCAGAGTGATGAAAAATACCACCATTGTCATAGTAATTCATGATAAAAACATAATTTGAATGGTCAAAAGTCCTCAAAATGTCGAGGAAGTTGAAACCTATGACTAAGGTCATATTTACCACAGAGGTGTTGAGGCGGGCCCAGCGTGGCTCCTGTGTGACAGTGCATTTGTTTTCAGGAGCCCTACAGGCCGAGATCAGTAGTAACACCTGGGTCGGGTTTGTAGCATTTTTAATGTTGGACAGTGATTTAGCCCAACAGCACGTGCTCACCAACCACAAGCATGAGAAGACCACTGTCACCACAAAATCCTGCACAAGAATCAGAGACTTCAATAAATAAGGCTTAAAGATGAGACTAAAAACGAGAGGGGCAGAACAAGTTACATGTTTTCCACATAAAAATCAGAAAGGATAAACTGTCATAGTTGTCATGTACAATTTGAAAGAATATATGTGTAGAAGGATACTGAGGTTATCACAATCTAATCACAATTTCAATAGTTGCAATTAACAAATCACAATGGGTTCAATTATTTATGTACTACTGCCTTGCTTGTCTTCATGGGGTGTTTTATTTATACATGTTTTTAGTTTAGACAGCACTTTTATCAGTGCATATTTCAGGGTACTCTCAATCAGTAAATCTGCTTTATTGATTTGAATTGATAAACCGTAAATCTAATCACTAAGAAGAATTACATTTAGACATTTTTCCATTTTTTGTTATATGGATGTAGTCAAAGAGGATGTGAAATTGTAAGATAGGGAGATGCAGAAAAAAGGGTCAGAGAGGCAGATGAAACTAAAGGAAAGAGTTAAAATAAACATAAGAAGCAACTGACCACAAGAGGACCGCGGTTGTTCCTCAGGTATGAATTCTGGTAGAAGACGTACACCACGGTTGCCAAGAGTGAGTAGAGAAATGCAAAAACTCCCACCATTACGAAGAACTGGGCAGAGACTGACATATCTCCATCCAGAAAATAGACCTCATGTCTCCTGGCTTCACACAGCGGGGCTCTGAAATGCACCTGCTGCAGTCTGTTAGGAAAAGCAATGCAAAGGTGGATGACAAATGATGCAAAAACCAAGAAGAGATGTGAAATAGACAACATCTTAATATTTTTTATACGAAACATTTTGATTCTAATCAAAATTTTATGACTTCTCTGTACTTACAGACATCTATAAAGAAGCATTTATTTGATATTTATTATAGAGATTGGGAATGTGGTCATGCAATTCCTAGCCATATGGTAAACCAGGGATATTTTAGGATTTGAGAAATATCAGTTTGAGGTTGTTTCACAGCTCTTTTATTTGCTTTTTATAGTGTTTTGGTTAATGCATCTCTATTGACATTTGGCTTACGACGAAGATGGCCAGTTATGTTCAGTTTGTGGTGTCAAATCCCAACCTCTATGAATAAAAATCAGTATTATTGGTACTTGACTTTTACTGGTAAAACAAATGTATAACACATTTATTGGACAATAGCAGTATTTCTTGTGGTATATTAAAACCCAAGGAACAACATATCCACAGAAACAAGCAGTAGGAGACCCTCCTCCAAGAGTCAGGTGTGTGGAGATGTAAGCTTGCTCACAGTAAGGATTTTTCAGTGCACTCTTTATGTGCAATAAAAACAACCAAAACACAAAACAAAACAGCAAAAATATTTTAATTTACCTATTTTAGACTAAAAAGTTCAGTAAATTCAGTATTTTGAAATATATTAATTACAGTGGCATTCTGTAGAAAAGACATACAGTAGGCCTACAAATTCTGAAATGTAGATTAATAATATGGTATTTTGCCATGAACTACCCAAATGGTAAATTCACAAAAGTTGAACATGATCCTTTCTATTTGTGATTATACTTTGGAACTTGCTTCACAACATCAATCTGCATTTTAACAGCAATATTCATTTTACCTGCCCCCCATCTGTATTAAATACTTTTGCTGCAGTTTAATCTCAAATCAAGCAATAACTTGAATAACCCCCATGCAAATATATCTCCTGTTAGCATTTCAGCACAGAAATCAATGAAGCCACTATAATTTATCCTAGTCTTTAAATTAAGTGCTGTCATGTCAAATGAGCTGCTAATTGCACCCTTGTTTTGCTCTGACACTGACACTGGGGGGTTAAACACAGGGGGCGACCGCACTGCTGTACCATTTCACTCACCCGCTTAACCACTTATTTAAACAGTAAGGCTGACCACTGCTCCTCACAACCATTCATCTCAAATAGACAGATATGACCTGATCGTATATTCTCTAAGTTTATTCCACTGCTCTTACAAGTGTAGATAGAACCCCGAGTATTAACATGGCGGACCACATGATCACACATCAGAGCCACCAGCGCCTTTGAAGATTTCCCAATTTAAAATCAGGAAGCTGTGCCGCAGAACAGGAGGTCACCCCGATTTGAAATCCCCCAAGTAGAAAATGTCTCCTTACATCATTAGACCACAGAGATGCTTAGCAATGGAGATATTTCTTGTTACAGTCCTTAATCTACATATTTGAGAATGATTATATTTTTCCTCCTAGCTTTATTCTTTGATGTTTACTTTATTTTAACTTAATGTTTTCCCTAATTGAACTCATGATGTTCTAGTTAATTTTAGCCAAAAGGAAAAAAAAAAAGTTCTTGTTATATCTTGAAAAGTTTTAATAATAACAAATGAATACATGAGATAAATAGCCTTGTTACCTGAATGGATAGCTGAAGTCAATACTGATGGTGTGGTTGCTCTGCCTTCGCTCAGCACAGTCCACTTTAACCTGGAGATGACCATAGTAGCCTCCACATGTTGCAAATGCACACACTGCAAAAATCTACACAGACATCAGCATCATCAGTTGAGATATGATATGATATGTTTTGGTTCTGTGTCAATTAGAAATGTACATTACTGTCTGAATAGTAAGTATATTTCTTTATTTGCACAGTAAATATATAACCTACTTATGCAGAATCGGGGGCTATTTGTTGGAAATAGAAAATGTGAATTATTTAGAAGTGGCAATATATCACCTAACTGTGCACTGGAGGCTGTCCATGCAGTCACTCACAAGCCTCGAAAAGATATCAGATTAAATGGTTCAGCGTTTAAGTTTTAAGTTTTTATCACATGCAAAATAAACACTAAAGATGTCTAATATTTTGCTCAAGATCACAACAAAACGACAAAATAGGTAAATCAATTGTGGGCGATGCAAACAGCTATAGACCAGTTTAAAAAGTAAACTGTGAACTTACCGGAGCAAAAATAACCATACACATTTAAAGTCTTGATATGGGCTACAGTTCCTCAGTGTTTTTGTTCCTTTAGGTTGGTCATCAGTTGTGAAAGCGCGGATGGAGAGAAGAGGAGCAGCGCTGGCACCAGCAGAAAAGGGAGGGGGCAACTACTGCCACACCAGCGCAAAACAAGGAGGAGGTTGGACTCTTGTCTAAATGATCTTATATCGTAACAAAGTACAAATAAATACGTTGGTTTAAATATTTTATCTTATTTCTAATGTTACCGTTAATCTAGGCGACGTTAGGCCGTGCAGTGTATTTGGTCTACCAGATAGGACAGAACCTGTTCTTTTTTCCTTTATAATTCCTGAAAGTTTCATAACAGTTACACAAACCAATATAGCATAGTTGTAATAATAATTTATCATTATCTAAGACTTAAACCTAACAAAAGCAAATTTTTCTGACGGTAATAGTGTGACTAGTCTTAAGGTGTCTGGCGCCCTCTTTTGGTCATTTATCTCCACTTCATTGTAACAGAGTAATACTTTAGTATGGAGGCAAATATTTATCACTAAAGTACATTCGAGTGATGTGATGAATATATAATAAATACTACATTTATGCACCAGTGAAGTTATGTTGTTGAAATATGTTTGCACTGACTTTTCCTTTTGTTTTATTGTTGTATTCTGCGATATGTTGTAAACTGCTCAAAGCCAGTGTAATACTCCACAATGCTTTATGGGGTATTCAAACTCATAATAAAAGTGCCGTTACTTTTCCATCGTATGAACATTAGACCCATCATTTACAGTAAGGGAGTCAGTTTTTATGGTCCACTCTTGTTCTAAAGTGGTTGATGTAAACAACTTGAGAACATAAAAGGACAATACACTGTAATTAAATAAGAATAACTTATGGACTTGTGGTGTGCTGTAAGACATATTTAAAGAGGCACTATGTAACTTTTCGTATCTCCATGAGAATGTTATTGCTTTGTCTAGACGTTTCCATAGTCTGGCATTAAACTCCTGGAAATACGACCAGCTCTGTGACAGGTGACGGACACTTTTTAACTGTAATTGAATGTATGCAAGGTGGGTACGTTTAATGCCACACTGTGAAACATTCCAGACAAAGCAACAGCATAGGGTCACTGGGGTAGCTAACTCCCTAGCAAAAAAGTTGCATACCTTTAAATAATACCTTTCCTCACGCTGTAAACATGAATAATCGATTCAGTTGACTAATGTTCCAAAACAGATACAGTGTAAGTATTTACCCTTTTTTCTTTTTTGTTTATGTCTGAAATAAAGGTTAATCTTAACAATATACAAGTTTTTCAAACCCTCCAAAGGTCTGGTATAGGACAACACATCATTTTTACACCAGATGGAAGCCACAAATGACTCTGAAAGTAGTGTGTCTTGAATGAAACAACAAAGCTTTCATAATTGCCTGAAACTCCCCAGGCAGCCCTTCCACGCTAATGACAAATTAACCAATCATCATTTGTTTTCAGCATGAACAGATTGGAAAACCGACAGAAGAGGCACAGCCATATCTCAACACTCCATAAGTTTCTGCAGTGGTTCAAGTGAGGTGAAGCATTTGCTTTATAACTTATCATATATTGTGAACTGCGGACCATGTCTTAAAGGTGAACTGTGTATGTTTCCTGATAGAAGGTCCACCGTCTGCTTGTCTTCATTGAGATTTTCCACTGTAAGACATTAAACTTATCTATCTCCATAAAGAAAAGTACACGACACCACCAATTACAGGTCAGACACATGCTTTTCAAGGTATTTCTGACCAATAAAATCAAAGCATCTCCACAAGACAAGCAGGTGATGGACTCTTCAGCAGAAAAGTTACTCATTGCACCTTTAACCAGGTTTGTGTTTGTCATGCTGGCGATGTAACCCTAAATTCAAAATACCATAGTTCAAATATGCTTACCAGGTTACTTAGCTGTAATGAAATGTACAGGAAGTAATATTTACCACTGTTTTATCTATGTAGATACTGGCGGCTTGGCTCTGCTTTACCTACAAAACATCCTACTCTTGAATAATAAATCACTGCTTATCCACTAGAGGGCAGTACACATCCATGCTGCTTATATAGAAAATCACTGGAACTGCAGTCATCAAGTCCTTTTTGCATTTGATTTCTAGTCCATTTGTCAAGCGTCTCTTTTGTCAGGGTGCACAATAGGCTAAAAATCTGATCCACTGCAGCTAATGGTGAGATTAAACCTATTTGTGTCTGATAGAGAGTCTGGAGCAGGTCTATACTAACCGCTATGAGGTTTTCAGCATTGTTAAGACTCCAGACTCTCACTGCATTATTGATGAGGTCTATTCTAGCATCATCTTCATCCCCTATAAGAAAAAAAACAAGATCATAGTTTATGTTATCCTACAATTATGAATCTGAAGATGTTCCAATGCAGGATTTTAACAACTGTTTTTATGCCTCAAATAACTTAGGGCCCAGGGCTGAAATCCACCACAAGTTTTAAAGTTATCCAAGTGGGATACAACAGAATGTAACTAAAACTTCAACATAGTGCCTTCTGGCTTTTCCCGTGTGGCACTGGCTACAAATCAACTACAAACTGTGTTGCGATCTTCTGTGACTTATTAACCTTCAGGGTTTGTAGGATTGGTTCCTTGTGTTGTCCTTGGGCAAAGCACCCATCACCCATCTCATATAAGTAACAGCAGTTGTAACAGCAAAGCAGAAAAAGTGCCAATTTACTGTGCAGGGTCCCTCAAGAGTCTGAGAGTATCAGGTGTAGTCCCTGCACTGAGACTTGTAACGGTAAACCTAAAGATACCTAAGAGATTTTGGTTCAGAGTTAAATTGTGCGTCAATTTATTACATGAGTTAATGCAGAGACTGATTATTTGCCATAGAAACCCTCTTAAGGGCAAAACAAAACCTTTCACTGACAACAGGGCCAATCCTATCTTTCCTTTTCCCTAATTTTTTATTTTTTATTTTTTTCGTGCAACAACTCAGAACCAGCAATCACAACCTTAAAGGTGTACTATGCTATTTTTTGGTTAGGGGTCTGTCACCTTTTTGTTTTTATAGGTATGACACTGCTTTGATTCTAATATTCCAAACTATGACATTAAAATACCCATGACATACCTTACATGTATTCTATTGCTTGTGGTTTTATGCCCAAAAATACTTAAAAAGAGGCATTCTGACTGTTGCCCTTCCACAGATCTGACCAGTAATTTGGCGTGGTTTGGTCTCCATGATGACGGAAAGATTTAATGCCATACTGTGAAACATCTCCGACAAAACAGCTTCATGGAGAAGCAGGTCATGGACCTTCCACCAAAAAAATTACACAATGCACCTTTAAACTGCTAAATATTTACTCCTCTGCCTATATTTATCCAATCTCCCCCCTTCTTAACCCTCCTCATTCCTGGATCCAAAGGCATTCCTGGTGATGCCGTATTGAGTGCCACAGTATTTGGTTGGGTGACGGCATGGGGTTCTCAGGGAGCCTGCTGTAGTAGCTGCATTGCTGACCCTATTCCATCAATCTCACATTAAAACGCTTGCAGCATTTAAATATTTCAAAGAGCTCTCCAGTCTAACTCCAGAGACGCTGTGAGGCACTGAGTGTGAGTGTGCTCTGCCTAGAATCCCCTTTGTAATAAACACAGCGTCTGAACTCACTAATGTGACTAAGACCGAACCAAATGAATGATTAATAATAGAGAAAATACACAGCAATATCAATCAAGAAGTAAATAGTCATAAATCACGGTGTACAAATGCATCATCATGAGCCATGTGTTTCTAAGGCAATTGCTAATCAACTTGCAATTTTCTTTTGGCCAGCAATATTTGTAAAAATATGAGTTTTGTCTTACTGGGATTTATTAAGCTGTTATGTTTTAGCTTCTGGCTGAGCAGGAGGTTGTGCGTAGTGATTGAACTAATAGTAGTACATTATCATTTTAACTTTACTATTTTTGTTGTTACTGTACATTTTTTCCCTAACACTCCTCAGCTCACCATACAATGCTCACTCAAAAATATGTTCAGTGTCTCCTCTTTACCAGCAAAGGACCCTGACCAAGTGCTGTGGTTGGTACTCACTGACCCAGCAGTATAATACATAGACAATAGAACTCCTGTTAGAGCACCCTTTAAGTGGCATGCCGAAAAAAAAAAGAAAAAAAAAAGAAAAATACACACACAAACACACACAAAAAGGAAAATCTCTTGCCCAGTGACAAGTGCCTCTACAAACTATTTATACTTTACCCTACCTGCTGCTACTGCCACACCATGTTGGTACAAGACTGGCTAATTGGGCCTACATTATTTGTTAAAAATACAACATTATGGAGTAGCCAAAATTACAAACAATTTATCTGACCCTAAGGAATTGGGACATTCAATGATCTGGCTCCCCTGACAATAAAGTAAAATATCCCTGGACCGGTATTACAAATCAAACTCTATTCCGAAATAGAAATACACAACTCAGCAACACACATACACAAAAACAATGAATGTTGATGTTTATTCCAGCTAGATTTGATGGTCTTGCATTGCTTTGGATCAACATATAATAAATAAGAAAATGTAACATAATGTCAATATTTCACTATATCCTATCATCATAACTACAAACAATATTGTAAAACGCATTTTATATTACTTTCACATTGCCTTCACTAGATCCACATGTATAAAATATTTCTTCTATACCCTCTTTAAGAATATACACCAGATAAATTAAACATTATCTGTTCGGTGCGTATAGACTGGCAGAGTGGATTGGAAAAAGCAGAACGAGAGAGAGAGAGAAGGAGAGAGAGAGGGGGGAAGTCATGAATATATTATCATGCAGTAGTTTTGATGGTTGGGCTGTGCAGTGCAGTACAGTCTGGTGCGTCACTGTACTTTACATATACAGCCTGTGTCACTCCCTAGAGACACACAACATCTCTCACACGCATACACACATGCACACAAATGCACATCACACCATGACCAAACAAGCACATTTACTGGTGGGGCTTGGTAATAATGTCAGATCTGTGTTTGGCTTTGAAATCCCCAGTAAAGATGACACTAACGTTAGATGTGTGATTAAAAATGAATCGTGCAGCAGGGGTCAAGCTGAGTTCAAAGATGTCATTATTGCTGCGCTTGCTTGGTCTTGTTAAATTTAGTGTTTTCTAACCAAGCTGTGACATTACAGGTAGGCTACAAATGAATTACACTGGCTAAAATAATCTTCAAAATTGTACAAATTCACACCCAATATTTCAGTGTTGTGTTCTGATTCCCTTATCCTGCACTGTGGGAGTAGAACGTAGGGGGCTGTTAGATAATTATATAAAAAAAAAAAAGAAAAGACTTCTCATTTTTTGACAGTTTAATTCTTAAAGTAATTTTGGTGTTTGTGTTTGTGCATAATTTCCTTTCCATTTTCTGTAAAGTTTGGTTTCATAACAAATACAAAACACAATTGACAGAATGATGAAAAAGTGTCCAAGGACGTGCTAGGAATGTTTACCCAGAGCAAACACATTAGATTTGCTCTTAAGCCATATTTGTTGTTGAATGAGCATTTTATTCTGAGAAAATGGGGTTGTGATGTAGGACCCAGAAACATGAAGATTTAATGTGTACACAGTGTTGTGAAGGCAATGGCAGAGCGCATCAGTCAATTATTCATGTATAAAAGGTTTGGAGAGGCCTGCAGCTCAGGTTAGAGCTGGACAGTTTTTAAAAAGCTACATCAATTGGTTTAGGCTTGGTGGAAGCATTGGCTGTGAATGTTATAGGTAGATAGTTGTGGAAAATAAATGTAAATATATTGTGTTTATTATTGTGCAAGTAAATCTATGCTTATGTCCTTTCATCTGTTATATAAACATTTGTAAAAGTACTTTTCATCATATCCCGAAGACTGATAGATATAGTGTTAGTTAAAACAGAAATGATTCTAGGCAAAGCAATCATATACATAGGCTACCTGTAAAAAAAGTGATAACAATAGCAATAAGATTGATACATCTTATAATATATTGATCTACATATTTATAATGTATCTTCTAATGTAAAGCATGATTTTAACTTTGCAATTGTAATTTATTCAACTGAATTTAGTTTGGGAACAATAGGGGTGAATTGAACCTAAACAACTTCCTCCATGTCTTATTAACTCAGTACAACATCTATAAAACAGCATTCCAACACATCGGTGCCTTTAAAGAAGTCCTTAGTATAACAATAAGACAATGTGAAGAGTAGGGGCTCCTTCAGCTGTCAGTCTTTGTAGAGTCAAAGGTAAAGTGTGCTCATGCTCACATAACAGCGTACAGCACAAGGACAGAGGGGGGCATACACAAATGTGTAAAGTCTGTTTGTTTATGTCTATTCAATGTTCAACAAGAAAAAAAAACAAAAGCTCACACAGAAGGACATAACCTCAAATAACCCTATCTTTGTCCAGGAGTCAAGAAAATCAATAAATCCATTAACAAATCAATGTTATAATTTAAAAGAACACAGTTGCAAAAACTGTAAACCATGAGCCAAAAACAGTTTCAACTAGTTCAGCCTTGATTTTAGCAAAAAATATATTATATTATTGAATGAATAACATTTGAATAATAAAAGACAAGGTTAAAGTGTTAATAATATTAGTAAGTCTGAATCAGTCACAATGAACATGAATATTTAAAAATATGCAGTGGGTAACTGGGTTATTGTTTGGCTTATTTCTTTAATTGATGTTTTTAACAAAGGCAGAAATAATAATTGCATGTCAGTGGGCTCAATACACGTAAATCATCTCTAGGTTTTGGGTCAAAGGTCAAAGTGAAAAATGCTCTCAGTCTGACAGGCCCTTGTTGTCATTCCACTGATGTCTGTGAATCATCAAATTAAAATAAAACATCATGAAGAGTTATGAGACCTCAGCTGTGAAGACATGTGCACTGGTTATTCCTCATTCAGATCCCAAATGAACGGTGCTGCTCTTTGCCCATGATTTTCATACAACAATGTCATGGCATTTCCTCATATATATGTTTGTGTTGCACTATTTGGGTAGCATGGATTTATTTGTTTTGTTGGCCAAGGATTTAGAGTCACGTGATCACTTAAAACAAAAGACAAATCCCCACAACAAAATCTCTAACAGGTTGATGTTTCAAACCCAGATCTAGTAAGTGAAGACACAAACGTACTCTGTTCTGTTTGGATAGTAGTTAAGTCTTCTAACAAGAGATGATAATATATGTGTGCATCAACAGTAGTAGGGTTTTATGGTCCACCCATCCCACACAGAGCCACAAACGATCAATGAGACATTTTAACTGATCCAAATTCACACTCGGTGCTGCCCCCAGTAAAGCTCCCGGTCTGAAGGAGAGTCCCGTGGCAGCCATCTTAGGTGTAGCTGCAGACCGTAGTGAGGAGCTCCAAACAGGACGCATCCTTCACTTCACTCTGTGCTCCTGCTCTCATTTCAGCACCACGGCCAGCTCCACTCCCTCTCCCTCTCTTCACGCTTTCTCCCTCCCTCTCTCCCTCTCTCCCTCTCTCAGCAGGCTGGGAGAGGCCATCTCCCGCTTTCACCTTCTCTCATCTGTACTCTAGCCCCTCCCCTTTCTCCTCACATCCGCAGCGGTCTGACTGGACGCTCAAACACAGAAAGCACGTAAGCGTCGACGAGTGCTCGACGCAGGCGGAGAATGCTCATTGTGAAGCAGACTACGAGTACTGCTGACATTCACCAGCGAGCGGCTACAACCGGGGCCTATTTCTGCTCCTCTTTGGGCTCGTCCAGGTCCAACCGCCAGCACAAGCCAATTTAACGAGGACAGCGCGTGTCACAAGAGGCACGAGCAGCCCGTAGAGCAAGATGCTCGACCCGTCGTCCAGCGAGGAGGAGTCTGATGGGATAGTAGAGGAGGAGAGTAAAGAGGCGAAGGCTCCTCAGGCCGGCTCCCGCGTCTCCCCGAGCAGGACCAGCAACAGCTCGGGTGGCTTGGCCCCGAGCAGCGGCCGCAGCAGTGCCCGTCCGACTAGCCCGAGCCCCTCAGCTGTCAGCGAGGAGAAAGAGGACCTGGAGAAGCTGCAGAGAGAGGAAGAGGACCGCAAAAAGAAGCTGCAGTTGTATGTTTTTGTCATGCGGTGCATCGCGTACCCTTTCAACGCCAAACAGCCTACAGATATGGCTCGGCGACAGCTGAAGGTAAGAACATAGTAATAAGCACGCGCTGACAAATCGCGTCTCTGGTATTGCAGATGTTGTCATTGATGACCTATATAAGGCTGAACACACACGGCCTATCCCACAGCCCATAAATCATAGCACTGCCACTTCTAGCTTCATGCAGTTGTGGATTTGACGCAAAATGCTGAATGTCCCGTGCATGGCAGGGGCACAAGGCGCGTGAGAGCGAGTGAAAAGGACACATGGCACTGCAGAGCTCCATTCACAAGCTCGCACTTAAATCAATGCCAGCAGCGTTAGAAGGGCGTTCAGGAGCAGCTCCGTGCAGGCGCTTTGAGACAACACACTGTCCTTGTTGGCCTGCTCATCCCTGGACCCATGCCGCTGTACATGCCTGCCTGCTGGCCCTGTCCCAAGCGTTAGCCCATCACTTATCCCTCCAATCTGGCCTCCCAAGGTGACTTTTAGTCACAGACCTCTGGAGATGTGCAGCTTAATAGCCCCTGTCCTTTACAGAGGACAGAATAGCTTCTCCTGATGGCTCAAAGTGAATTAACAGCAATTACATTTTACACACATGATGTACATGATATATGTTATAGTTTGAGCTTTGTCCAGGCTGGAACCTCTCTTAGTAATGTGGCTCCTCTGGGGGACAGGCTCAGGCCCACTTCCTGGTTTCATGTTGCTGCTGTGCGCCTCACTGAGGGGGGAGCCACTTTTGGGTCATACTGTCCTTACTGTCAAAGTCACCACTAGGAACCATGGACAGTACAAGACCTACTTAAAAAGGCCTGTGTTTTTCAGGCACAGCAACCATTCATCCTCCCACTGTCTATTTAGTGAATAGCTTTTTGGACTCACTTCAATGCAAACAGCCCCGATGGCAAAAGGACAATAGTATCCAGTAGACTTCTGAATGACTTTAAAGCTGTTCTTTAAATTCTATTGCCTCACCATTAGTCATGTTCTTATAGTACATATGCGTGGAATGATATTTTCCTTGTGGCCGCTTCCTTTTTTGTAACCTGTAGACTATTTGCCTTTCCTTGGAAACGGTTAAGCCATATGGTGGCGTTTTTTTGCTGAGTCATGCACTACAGTGTGTAGGAGGCTTAAACTACAGTCTTTCCAACCATTTGTTTGTTTAGCAGTGCTGATCCGAGTGGGTTACTGGTAGACTACAACATGGTTACTTATCTGATACAGGCAGCATCGATGACCATTGTGTGAGAGTGAAGGAACTAGGCCGATGTATTTGAAGTATCTGGCAACCACATTCTGACAACAGATAAAATCTCCATCCGATTATTGCACTTGTAAAACACCATAATTGTTATCACCATCTTTAGGTGCCTTAATTAAAGTGCCAATGAAAGAACCCATTAAATAGTTAAATGTTGTTGTATTACAGCTGTGAGTGAAATATTCCAACCATTTATTGATTGAAAGATAATGATGCTTATGTAATATTGTAAATGACAAAAAGTGCCGAGTCTTATCCAAATCCAAATGAAAAGGCTTGAGTTCTGCTGACGGGCCTAAAATGTCATTGTGGTTATATTTTGAATGATCTCAAAATAAAACAAATCAGATATGGAAAATGAACTTCATTTTACCCATTTCACTTGAACCACCATGACCACAGTGATTTTTGTAATGTGACACTCCTGTCTTGTGCATGCTAGTCTTCAGTTTTGTTATTCTGGGCTTTTCTACTAATGTTCTTGCTACATTTTTGTCATCCTATTCTTGATGAGTCCCAGAATTTGCTGCGGAATTGGCTTAATGAAAAGACTCAAAGGCCTGTGCAGAACATGCGGAGGAGCTCCACTATAATCCGTTATTAAGGATGTTGGCACCAAAAAATATTGATGGTTTAACACGGCTAACCCACCAAAGTCTGCTAGCCATGACTGTTTCTATATAGTACGGTAAATATAGGAAAACCCCATAGAATTCTATATAAGCAGCTGGTTGTTGTTCTAAGCCATTTGTATGTTTAATTGCTAAGAGGTTTTGCATTAAGAAAGCTTTCTGTCCCAAGAGACCTTTAGACTAATGCTGCCGTTCCTTTAAGAATGTATAGGTAAGAAATTAGGTTTATTGACACATATGGATTGTGTTAGTTTAATTTATGGAAATATACACTTATTCAGATTGTTCCAGAGGGCACAATATGGTCATAGAGGGGCATTATACACTTGGCTAAGTGTAGAGGTGCGGAAAGCATAATGTAGGAGGAAGGCAGACTTAATTTTCTTAAGTTTGAAAAGGAAACATTAATATTGAATACACATTTCCGTAGTCTTCAGTTCTCTTGGGGTGTCTTGGGTCCTCCCATTATTCAGAAATACATGTATGGATTTGTTAATGTAATATCCCTTATTACTGTAAATGAATGATGGTAAGGATGGGGAATATTGAAAAAAAAACCTTTATTATCCCAATGACAATATTCAAGCAATATTTGGCAATCCATCTAAATGTTCTTTTTTTTTTTTTGAGATTCAGGACGTAGTAGTATCACAAGTATCACACAAGAAGTGAATGAACAGTAACATAACCACAAAAGAGCATCATGGAACATCATTCCATCACCGTGTCTGGAAAAGCTACAGTCTCTTTTTTTCTAAATTTAATATTAAAAGGACAATAAACTAAACAGGGTTGTAGTCAATTAAGAATTTCTTGGTTGACTTAAACATGTCATGCAAAATGATTATACAACTACAAAGAGGGCACTGGAAAAGCTCAAAAATATCATGTATCTCTGTGTATGTGACCCAAACTACACTCACAAGACAACACCTGAACAAGAGTTCATGCAAAACCACTATTTATGCAGAAAAAAGTACCTTATATTAGGACTTGAGAGTGAGTTTAAACTGCCCTTTTACATATAAAAAAAAAAACAAAATCTTCAACTTACTCAGTCACTAACTTCTCCTTTCTTCTGTGGTCTTATAAAATCTATGGAAACAATGATTAGGCAACTAAGACGCCATCGACTGATTAATGGAAAGAACTATAGCATAAAAAGTAAAACATATTAACATAGAAACACTTTTATACACAGATGCAGTTGGAAAAATATACAAGCAAAAACTGTTGCTCAGTCACTATTTCATCCTTTATATTCTCTTCCATGCAGCACTGTCCATCATCATCTCCTTCCACATTTCCCGTGTAGGAGTATTGGATTCCTTCCACATTGTCAAAATTAGCCCGGCACATGTCTTTTGCAGCCATTTTTTAAAATAGTTTTCATTAGATGATATACTCTACATTCTAATTTTGGATATCTCTAAAACAAAATTACCTCCCACCTCTAAATGGCTATGGTCTGCTAATGGTCTTCTGCCTATTTCCATTTGATTAGGCTCGGACCAGGTGTCTTTTGGGTCCTTATTCTGAACACAGTGTACATCATGCTGTTAATGCTTGTGGTACAGTGCTGCAAAATGCTCCTCATGTTGTGATGTGAATGTGAAGTAGTTGCTAATCGCTATGACTCGAGGTGGAAGTTTGGTCCTTTATTGTTTAATGCTGGCACCAATCCATAGTTCTGTTGAATCTCCTGCATTGTTACTCCGGGCAGTGTAACCTTGCAACCTTGAAAGAAAGTCATATTTTTAAGAGGTCCATCTAAAATCAGCTGTAAATTTCAATGTTAGCATTACATTACATTAATGGAGTTGTCAAAGTAAATTATTGTGTCCTAGAAAGCAAAGATGTTTGTGTTGTCATGTCCCTTCTGGTGCAGATCTCTTCAATTAGTCAGTCTTGTGAAATGCATGAAAAGTACCCAACTTCTGAGCTCATGTGGTTAAAATGCGATCCCATATAAAATGCTTCATGAAGTCTATCTCTTTTCTGTTCTTCTTAATATACATAGAAATGAAAGGTGTAACCTATATGGCATTGGTGTGAATAATGATGTTTTTCAAACAGTGGCACTGAAGAAATCACAGGGCACAGCTGGAGGTGAAAGAGCTGGAGGTTTTCTTGAGTGAGTGATGACTACAGGGATTATTGTTATTTGAAAATATGTTAATATTAAGAGTGCCAGAGATAAGTGGTGGATTCAGAATATATACCCAGATGGGAGCCAGTTTCTATTTATTTTATCTATTCTATTATTATTATTATATTTATTTACTGTATCTGCAACCTGATAATTTATATATAGCTCAGTGTCACCACATACAGTATAATCCACATTTTTAAGTAGCCTAATGTTAGACCAATTGAGATTTAAATACTGAAATTAATCTGACTATAAATATGATGTGGTAGTAGTAGTAGTACTAGTAGTAGTACTACTACTACTACTACTACTACTACTACTACTACTACTACTACTACTACTACTACTACTAGTAGTAGTAGTAGTAGTAGTAGTAATTTATTTGGTTGTTACACTGCTCCCTTTTTTCCTTAGTTTTTTTATTCATTATATTCATGCTGACCAGTTACATAAAGTTTTTTGTGACATCTGAAACCAAGGCATAGAAAGATGGTAAACTCTGCTGCTGGATCTCTGGACTAGATGACAAAAAAGAGATCATTAGAATGAAGTAACTAATGACTTAAAGTGACCTTCATGAGGAAATAGTCTATAAGATGAGACTGAAGAAATATAATTTAGCTACACATTTCATATGGTCTGCTACTTATGTGTGGAATAATACTAATTAATGTGATACAAAAGATTTAATTTATTGCCAGCGTGACGAAGAGTCGTTGCCTTATCTTGTTTAAACTTCTGAATACTCCCAGGTGGAGGGCCAAAAGCCAGTTTTCCTCAGTATTATCATGAAAAGTATCCAGAAAGTCAATAAACAAATGTTGAATATTATCCTTTTTGCTTAGGACTAGAGCTAAACTCAATACATTTCAACAAAAATCATTCATTCAAATCTTTATTTTGCTCCCAGTCATATAAAATTGGCCAAAAAATGGTGTGATGTCTGAAACAAAAGAACTGAAGGATGGTGAACTTCTAGACTTCAGGA